TACAACACAGGGAAAAAGCTGGATTAAGAAGGTTTCTCTTGACATAGAGAATGCTGGGACCTGTAGTTGTTTGGGTGAGTGGTGAACGATGCACTCTCCAGGAAAGAACTGAGAAGAGGATTGTGCCTGTACTGAAGGTGCAGCCTTAGATCAAAGTAATGACCGAATGCTGATTATTTGCTGCATAATCCCAGACAAAGGGTCATTTGCAGTTTGTAACCTTGCAGGGATTTGTTGGTTGAATTAACCATGCAGCTGCTTAGGATAAAAATGTGTGCTTTAATTGGGACTAAGCCAAGAAGCACAGGGATCTGCTTTATATAAATGTTTTATGCGGCAAGAAACGGAGACTCTTTTGAGGGCGTTTTTCAGAAACTGCAACAAAAGATGGTGAAAGTGTTTGATGGTTCAGCGTGAAACTAGCGAGCCCATTGGCGGAGATCACAAATAACTCATGCAGGAAATATTGTCCTCAGGCACAGTTGGCTTGATTGTTCTCAGCATCATCATCACGCAGCTAAATTTGGCCATGACATCATATTTGCTTGATCAACTGATTCTGAACAAGAAGAAAAAGAAGCCCTAGCAACTTTCAGCAGGGAAAAAAATGAGGGAATTATAGCTATGACTGGGTGGGACAAAGGACAAGCGTTCTCAAGTATGGAAAGATGGTTGGAAAACATTTTGGGTCTCTCCATAGCATTACCTTGTCCCTTCCAATCTGAAAATGGAAAAACTTTAATACAGATTTGTTGAGCTAACGGTTCCACTACTTTTTTGACAACCATTTTTCTCAAAGCCACTCAAAATAGCTTTCAATAAATTAGGTATCATAATGCAGATACAGTGTTTTGGGTTGCCAATATAGATTTTGAACCTCTCCATGTTCTTATTCCCAACATAACTTCATCATGGAAAAAGGAATATTGGCAAGAAAACAACATAGGCATATCCATGAACTCACCAGGATTTGAGTTCAATTTAAGAGACTTTACCTTGTTGTATGTTGAAAGATAAGTGGCACACGAGATGAGTAGTCAGGAAACGCTACACATAGCTCCCTACAAGTCTAATTTAACTATGCGGGTTAGGTTGAAGCTTTTCTGGTTGCAAAAATAATTTTTGTCCAACAGTACAATCAAAATGCAGGTAGTGACATTCGCTCTCTGAATAAATGGTCATAAGTTGAGGACTACCTGTATTAGGTGGACTGTGAATTACAGCCTGGTACTACGCTCCTGGCCAAAGACTCTTAATGGCTGTGAATAATTGTGTGAGCAGCTGTTATGTTACAGACTTGGGTAATCTATTGCCTACAGTCTTGCCCCTCACCATTCATCAGACACTCTCCTGGAGTAGTAATACAGGGATCATGTGCTCCTTGGGGCGTGATGAAAAAGAAAGTGGTTGCCAGATCGAATGGCCGTAGTCCGTTAGGATAATTCCTATTTCTTGAAGGATTTCATGTAGTATAGCACCATGGAATCAAGCAGATCAATTGCCCTTTTTTGAAAACATCAGAAAGGCATTAGCTGCTCTTCTATTTGTTCTGAGGGTGGAATGGAAAAGAGAACTGCATGTTCTGTCCTCTGGGAGCTGATATGGGTCAGTGAGAGCCCCTGGTTTGGAACCTCTCTTGAAATTGAGGTAGGACATCTGCAGTGTTTTTGTCCATGCCTGGGACTTGACATGCTGAGGAAGAAGTGCTAGAAGACAGGCACGACACACAAACTTCCTGACATCTCTCTGGACCTGCTCAGAGCACAAGATGAGATTATTAATTATTATCACCACTGCCTGCTTATCAGTCCAAATAATTTATTTGTTCTTGAAGTTCCCTTCCAAAGGGATAGGAAAGAACTCCAGGAACAACTACAAGGGCTGACACATGGTAACTTGGCTGAGGTCAGCTGAGCAGACCACAGTGAAGCCTTCAGGTCCCCAGTTCACACGGCCCCGCCCCTGCTCACACGGTCTCCTTCTACGGCAGCAAGTACCTGTTTCCAGGGTGCTGGTATGCTGCAAAGAAGATTCTCCTTGCCTAAACCCCACAGGCTCACTTGGAGCAAAGCACACACACACACAGACACACACATGCACTACCAAGTTGGGAGTGAGTTCTCGTCCACCTCCCCTTGGGCTGCCCAGTCCACACTTTGAGCATAGAGAAACAAGACCATTCAGAGTCTCCTGACTGATGATAATTATTTTCCCTGCCAATGTTGTCTTGAATCCTTTGTCAGTTCTTTCCAGCTCAAAGTAGGATGGACAATGTGTGACCTTCCCCAGGCCACATGGGCTCCTCCAGCCCCTTCTTTGTGATCCCTATTGCTGAAAATAGGGGGCATAATTTCCCACCATTTTGGGGGCAGAAATCACGCGAACATTGTAATGGGAGCCTGATAACAGATTAGTATGACTTTTTAAACATGGAGTTCTACCATCCTCACTCCCCACAAACAAAAGGGAAAAACAGTCCAACCCAATTTGCATCATTGCTTTATCCACTGCAGCCCTTAAGTTCCCCTGGTCACCAGATGATTGCCCACCCCTGAGCTAGAAGGACACAGTGCTATATTCTATGGGCCTGCCTGCCCAAAATCATTTTCCATCCCTCGGTCACATGCAGCTGACATCTGCGCCTCCATGATATGAATAGCTTTTTTGTAAATATAACAATGGAGTCATTGACTTCTCTGTTTGCCACCTGCCAAGGCATTTGTAAATCTAAGGGTGAAACAAGCTTGGTTTTAACTTTATAAACATGGTTACTTGTCTTACTTTATAAACATGGTCCTCTATAATGCCTGCTGAGTGGTTGCGTGTCATATAGGTTCCTTAAGAAAGATAAAGGGCCAGTTGGTCTAGTGGTGAAGGCACCAGGCTAGAAAGCAGGAGATGGTGAGTTCTAGCCCTGCCTTAGGCATGAAAGCCGGCTGGGTGACTTTGGGCCAGTCCTCCCTCTCAGCCCAACTCACCTCACAGGGAAAATAGGAGGGGGAAGGACTATTAGGTATGTTTGTTGCCTTGAATTATTTATAAAAATAATAAAGGCAGGATAAAAAAAAACTTTTTTAAAATTACTTCTGTATTTACCGAAAAAGTAATTTAGAAAGATTTTTCCCCCCAATGGGAAAGATGTCTTAGATAAAATATGGTAATGTAGGCAAGCAAGTTTTTAAAAATTAATTAATTTATTTATTCTATTTGATGCCACCTGACTCCAAAGGACTCTGGGTGGCAAGTTTTTATTGTCCAGCTTTTCTTGGTGGGCATGCCATCTTAATTTCAGGGGCATTTTCCTCTTGGGTAAACATGTATTTGCTTTTTTCTTTCCAGCAAGCCTTGGAGAATCCCTGGAGCAATTTAATCCAGTGTACATGTCGGAAAACTATTCCCCGTACCCCACCTTAACTTGTGTAGATATGGCTTAAACACCATCGAATGGACGTATAAATTCAAATGGCCATGTGGTGCAAATGGGATATTTTCTGCAAAACTTGTCAACCTGAGAACCTTTGCCCTCAAAGTACCTTTCTGTACTTCGATGCAGCAAAATCCCTTTAAAAATACAGAAAGGTCTAGGAAGAATTTCCCAGGGGTCACGCTGTGCTGTCCCACTCCAGTGGGTATGATAAGATTTGTTAATCAATAGGTTAATGAACCAAAACTTTAACTGATTAAAATTATGATAAGCAAATATTGATCAGTAGAATTGTGGCTTTCAAAACGTACCTGGTTCAGTCCATCTTATTTATTTACTTAGCCATTTTGACAGGAATTAAGTTGGAGGGGAAGAAAAAACAGATTAAATATAATTTTTTCTTTTGAAAAAAAATGAGGGGGAACTTTTGTCGTTTCTGTAATTCATGATCTTCCTCAGTCTTTGCATTTATGCTTGCTTAACAAACAAATATTTTAATGCTCAGTCTTGGCAGTGGAATTAATTATGCCAAGCTAATGCGTGTGCAATGTATGCATATTTCTTCTGACTGTAGAACAGAGGTCTCCTGGGCATGACTCTTGTAATAACAACAGCATATTAGTAGGCTGTATCACAGCCCTGCTTGTTTTCTTTTCATAAAGAGAAAGTCTCCATAATCTTACCCCAAAGGCAAGATTTAATTTAAAACCAGGATTTAATTTTAAACCACAGAACCTATTTTAAATGTCAGGGCTGAGATTTAAAACATACCAAGTGATGTATTGATGCTTTATTCTTGACATCTTGAGCATAGGACTAAGAGTTTCCACGACCTACCTACCTCAAGACTGCCTATTCTATGAGGATAAAATAGAATGCAGAAATGAATGCCTCCCCTTTATGTCGAAGAACCGAAGATGACTGTCAGATAGATTTCAATGAAATTATAATTTCCAGAAATTAATATGCTTTGATCATCCAAGCCCTAGAGTGTGTTATGGATGACAGTATAAGGCACTGAATTTCCGTGATTATCTATCTATATGTGTGCTGAAGTGAAAGTTTCTGAGCATGTGACTATGTAGCCTTATAGAACTCACTGCCAAATGTCGTGTTCCTCCCTGGTATAAGTTATTTTTTTTTAAGGTTAGGTAACACTTTTAGAAAACAGATGTATCTGGTTCATAATTCTGGATGCCCAACACATCTGGTGGGTAACTAATTGGGGAAAGCGAGTTCAAGGCTACAGGGCACCTTGAGCCTAGTGATTCATTTTTAAATTGAGAGGTACTCTGAATGCAGACATATGTTTGCCCAGGTGCCTCGTTTGGTGTTGGGTTGTGAGACATACTGTAGATGGGTGCATTGTGCAGTAGTTATCTATTATTGCTGTAGCGGCACTCTGCTTAAGCCTTGAAAAGAAATACTGAGGCTGTAGTGAGCTTTAACTATAATTAACCCCTCTGCAACCTTTAGTTTCCTAATTATACACTCTGCTCAGGTTTATGCATAGCTTCTCTGCTTCTGCCCCATTCCTGATACCTTCTCTCTCTCTCTCTCTTATTTTCTTACACAGCTGAGCAGCTGAATGGCATAGGAGCTTCCATGACGGTGCCCCCCGTGCCAGCTCCCTCCTCGCCAGATAAACAGTCCTGCCTGGGATCTCCAGCAGCAGCAGTAGCCCCCCACCTGGCCACCTGCCCGGAGCCAAGCCAGAGTTCCAAGAGTGGGCCGGCCTGGGGGACCAAGCTGGGAGAAATCTCGGCCACATTGGCAACCCCAGCCACTCCAGGGGTGGCTCCCCAAAGTAATGGCAGCCCCAAGCCTGATGAAGAAAAGGCCAAGAAGCTGCTCTACTGTGCCCTCTGCAAAGTGGCCGTCAACTCGCTGTCTCAGCTTGAGGCACATAACAAAGGTATTTGTGGAGAGTTCAGAGGTAGGTCTTTGTGACGGGCTGTTGAGGAGGTAGGTCAAGCCAAGCAGCCCCTCGCCCTGTAGCCGTCAGCCCCACTCCCTTTCTGTGCAAAGGGAAACTCTGCTTTCTGAAGAGAAGCTGTGGAGAACCACGCATTCGCACACCCGCCTTCTAGGCACATGATTACAAGAGAAGCTCATGTGATGGCATGTAACAGTTAAGACTAGACTAATTCAGGAATTAGTTGTTCCAGATAGGTATTACCAGACCATGTTCTGGCATTCCCACTAACTAACCCCTTAAGGCAATTTAAAACCAACCAGTAATTGTTTTCACTGCTGCTGAGCAGGGAAACTCTGTTGGTGCTCCCCCACCTGCCGAGTGCAGGAATGTAAAGAATGGCATTCGGCGTCCCATCCCTGATCCATTTTCTGGTGTTTGGTTGACAAATGATTTCCCCCAGTTGCACTATCCCTCAGCTGTATTTAAAGGACCTGCTGGGTGTGGGAGCTGAACCTCAGCTGGGAGGGGAGAGAGGCCAATTTGAGCCAAGGAGCTGGAAAACATGGCTTGCCCACAAGATCTACAGAGTTTCCACGTTTTTAATGGTGCGATTCTGGATGTCATGCAACAGAAATGGTTAGTCAGAAAAGGCTACCAGACTCCTCCTGATTCTCTGCTTAACGTTGTTGCCGTCCTTTTCTTGCCTAAATTCTGCCAGTGAAGATCCCCCCCCCATTCCCTCCTCAGCCCAACTGTATCTTTAGAAGATGGTGGGAGCTATCCAGTGGCATCAACACGTGCACCCGCCCATATAGAAAAGCTGAAGTGGGGTGAAGAAGTGACCTGTTGAATGTTTGCCTTTACAACCATAGAAGACGCAGGAGCCCTGGCAGGAGGGGAGAGGAGAAGCAACTCCGTTGTTGGTTCCTTCCTTTTCCACACGCCTTGCCCCCGGGTGCACCCAACTAAGAGTTTTATCTCCTTTCCCCCAAATCCTTCGCATCTTTGGCCTTGTAGCAAGAGCGTTGGGTGTGGTTGCAGAGCACATCTTGGCAACAGGACAGACATTCCCCACAAAGTGAGCTCACAGCCCCAGCAGCTCAAGCCTCCTCTGGAAAACCAGCCCTCCTGCCTTCCAACCAAATTTACAGGCCTGGCTGAGCAGATGGAGATCAGAATGTGTAAAACTCAGGGGCTCTCCTTCCAGCTGTACCTCCAATGGCTTGTCCTGTCCATCCCCACGCGGTCGTAGTCTGGAGCTGTGGGGCTGCGACTGAGGACTTGAGAAGTTGCTCAGGAAATGAACCCGGGGTCAGAACTGCAGAGCAACGGCATCACAGGGCACACCCAGCCGGCCAGTTTAACATGCTTCCCTCTGGTCTGTGAAGCGCGCAACCGTATGCTAGCGTCGCTTGCTCTGTCCTAACAAGTTAATTCTGTTTTGGCTCGGGAATGAATCAGGCAAGTATTCCTGTCCTGACAGATTTGATATAGGACAAGCTAAGGAAGGCGATTGGTGGATTTCCTGCCAGTGGGAGAACATCCATCCATCACTCTCTCTAACATGAAATGGGGTGGAGGTGAGTTAAACCAGTGTTTCTCAATCCCAGCAACACTGAGGTGTGGACTGCGGAATTCTGGGAACTGAAGTCCACACCTCTTAATGTTGCTGAGACGGAGAATCGCTGGTTTAGGGGCTTTCTGCCTCTCCTGCTTGTCCTAGAGTTCAACCTGAAGATGATCTCTCTGGCTGACTCACCCAGCCTACTTGCTCTGCCTTTCTCACTCCCTTGAATTTCTCTTGCTCACTCATCCTTCTCCTTTGTTCATCCTCTTACTTTCTTTTGCTTACTCCACTGCCCCTTCCTCTCGGCCACCTCCTCCCTCCATCAGCATCTCTTGCTCCTTCTCTCACCCTGTCATGATCTCTTTTGCCCATCTCTTTGCCTTGCTGGTTTGTTCTGCGCTTGCCCTCTTGCTTGCTCTCGCTCTCGCTTGTCTGTCTCTCTCGCTCAACTCTCCTTCATCTTTCTCTCCCCCTCCGTCGCTTCCTCCATTGCCATCTGTTCTTTGACCACCTGCTGCATCACCCACTGCATCGTCTGCTCCACTGCCTGCCTATTCTGTTGCTGGCTTTGTCTGTTGTTCTGTTTGCCATGCTTACTGCCTCTTGCTTGATTGCTCGCACTTCTCTGACTCTCACAATTTTGCGGGTTTTGTTTTCTTGCTCTTGCTCCTCTTTTATGTGTGCTCATCCTTCTGTCTCTCTCTTAATCTCTTGTTTACCCACTGTCTTGCTTTGTTTAACAATAGCTGCCTGGAGGCTGTTGACAGGTGCTGGTCCGTGGCCCCTGATGCTTCAGCCGGTGCTGCTTTGCTGCACAAGCTACCTGTCAGAGCATTTATTTACCTGGATAGATAAGGAGTCTGGGTAATGGCTGAGTGGCCCTTTGCATCAAAGGCAGTGCCTGGTCACGCCTGTTGCTCAGATCAAAATGGCCATGGAGGGAAGTAGTCTGATCAGAAGAAGGAGGGAATGCACCCACCACAGCCCAAACAGTCACAGATCCCAGCCCCAGCAGTCAGTCACCACAATCTCTGCCGAAGCACTACAAACTCATAGTTTACTGCAAGTCTTGTGTTGAGAGAAGAGGAAAAACATCACTTAAACACTGGAACAGATAAACATGAAGTTAGGTGTCTTCAGCTATGGGTTAGGGATAAGGAAACGTTCCTGAAGAATTATTAGTGAGGCTTCTTCCCACTGCAGATAGGAAAGGCCATGCTTGCAAGCAGGGCTGGCTTGAAGTGAAAAGATCCAATGATCCCTCTGCTGTTTGGTCACCATGCAGCTCTTAGTGGGCTGCCTCTTAATACACATATCTAGTGTATTAAGAGTTGTGTGCTGGGGGGAAGCCATTTCTTCACTTGGCTAAAACTATTGTTGTAAAATCTTCTGTTGTGTCAAATCATTCACTGGAAAACTGTAATTCACTGAGAATGGGTGACAAGGGAAGAGAATGTTAGAACGAGAGTGAACTGTGGTCTTAAGTACCCAACAGAATAAGGACCAAACTTGGTTAAGACCTCATTTTGGTCATAATATTTTGGGACTAGTTCCCTATTGCATCTCTTCTGTCTTCTCTAAGATACTCATATCATTCCTCAGATCTCAGAATAAGGCAATGTGAAAAGATGTTTCAATACTGTAATACTAACAGTTAACATGTATAAATCCATCTCTCCCTGTACCTTGTAGAAAGAATAGGGCTACAGATCTGGGCTGCAAAACTCCAGATGACCACTTGATGGCAGCAAATTCTAAGTCTTTGCTGCCACGGAATGATCATCTGGATTTCTCCAGCCCAGGTTTGGTACTCCTAAACAATATAAATTGAATAAATAAATGCATTCTTAATTATTCACAGCCCTTTGCTTATTTAAGGACAAAAGTTCAAATTAAGATAAATATTTTTAAGTAGTGTGCTTAGAACCTGTACATCTTTTAGAAGAAAAAAGAAACAGCCATAAATAACAGCCAGTTTGGATTGGAAACTCAGCTGTTTCTTCCTACATTGGGTTTCTGGGAAGGGCCTCCTGGCCTCAAGAACCAACACATTTCAGTTTAAGGGTATGCAGTGAGCATGCAGGAAAGAATAAGCTTCTATTTTGTGGTGAGATTTGAACCAGCAACTTCCTGACTTCACAGCGTTAATTGGTGCATTATACCAGTGTTTCTCAACCTTGGCAACTTTAAGATGGGTGGACTTCAATTCCCAGAATTCCTCAGCCAGCATGCTGGCTGGGGAATTCTGGAAGTTGAAGTCCACCCAGCGTAAAGCTGCCAAGGTTGAGAAACACTGTGTTATATTGAGGAAACATAGGAAGCTATTTTTTCCCTAGCTCAGACTAGTTAGCCCTAGATGGTTTGCTGTGAGCAGGAACTCTAGGATACATGGCAGAAATCTGTTGCTGCTGCCTGACTGAGAATACCAAGGATTGAAAGTGGGACTTTTCTGTATGCAGGAATGAAGTTCTGTACTGCAAAGATTCAGGTCGTGCAGGATGTAGTTCTTTTAAAAGACATGTATGTGGGAGTGGTTACATGGGTCTCTGTTCCCTCTTTACACACTTAGCAGGTGAGTTGAGGGGCGAGACTTTTGTCTATAGACACACTGTACAAACACAGAAATCAATATTGGGTGCGGAATTCAGCATTGGAAAGAAGTCAGTATTACTGTACTCACCTGGATTCCAACCCTCCCTCCCCCCCAAAAAAATTACTTTTCAGACAGGGGCATCTTCTTAGATAAGCAATGAATCTCGTAATAAAGGCAGATTTTTTTTCCAGTTTGAACTTTGGGAAATATTCTTACATCCAAAGTCATATTCCTTCTGGATATGTACAATATTTCAGAAAGCAGTAGTTTCAACAGGATTCAACAGGATTTGCCGCATACAGAGGACAAATTTTTAACGCCCTCCAGAGTCATTCTTCTTTCTCTGTGATTAACAAAAGCAGACTTTTATTATGGAATGTGACCCCATTTTATTAAGTACATATAAATGACAGAATTTAGCTTTTCGTGAAGCATAATTTGGAATATTTTATTCCTCCTAGCTTGCTTTATTTAGTAGAGCATATGTCCAGTCCTTACATCTAGAATATCACAGAGGTTCTGTGCTCTTTAATTAGACTCTGAATTAAAATATTGAATCGAAATGCAGATTTTCTTGTCTTATGTGATAAATACCCATCCTTTAAGATCTCTTTCTAGGGATTAGAGTGTGTTGTTGTTTCTGATTAGTAATAGGGCTGAATTAACTTTATTGTTTTTCATTTCATTTCCTACGGGAGTCACTTTCTGACCTTTCAATTTGGATATTCCAAGTCTGTTTGTTACTTTGAATAAACAGATTCCAGGCAATATGGCACTAGTAAAGCCTAAGCCTCTTCTTGCCACTGAGATTGTAATATTGTACCATCTATTTTAATATATTAAAGTTTTTCCTGCAATTTCTCATCGTAATAAATGTCATCATCCTGTTGGAATCTCATTATCCTGTTTGGCATTTGTGTTTTTATGAAGGGCCTTCGGTGTGCCCTTAATCCACACCCAAAGTCTAAAGGGGCACAATTCAGGCATAGATTTGTTCACCTCGGTGGCAATTTGCCCTTGGTCTTGTCTTTTTCCTAAATTATAACCTAGCGCTGGGATGGCTATAGGAAAAGCAGCCACTGGAGTATGGCTTGAGAGACAATCCTCACTTTCTCTTGAGAGGATTTCCAGTTGTGAAGAAAAGGAGGTTTTGCAGAAGACAGAATTAGGACAACTGTGTTTAAATGGAGAGCTAGAATCATAGTGTCATGTTCAGCTTTCATTTTCTCTCTCTTGTTTTAAACTCTTTCATGTTTGTATTATTATACCTTTAGCAACAAGTTAATGCACAGATATTAGAAGATGATAATGTTTATCTTCAAGCTAAGAAAAGCTTTGTCTGCCAATATGTATCGATGAAGCTCTTGCTAAAATCTCAAGCAAAGCAGGATTTTTCTTTCACTCCTGGCAAACATAGTCCTTGCACCTCTCAATCAGACAGGAAGAAAGCTGTTTTGTATAGGTCTGCTAAAATGTTGGTGTGTGGTGTGTACATACATACACACGCATACTCAAAGACTTTCTCATAAAGTAAAAGCAATATTTAGATGCAATAAAAAAAATTAAAAATCAAATTGGCACCTAACAGTATAAAAATGGGACCTTAGAATTTCTATAAAATGTGGTGATTTGATAGCCAAAAAGCTGTAATGTAAAAAGACCCTTTATCTGAAGATAGGAGTTACTACAGGAGGGGAACCTGATCAGTTTTGCTAGATGAAAGAATCAGTTCTATAAAAAAGATGCCACTGCAGAAAAGTCTGTTCTGTGTCCTTTCTGACCTTAGTTCGTCAACAAGACAGACTGAATTATAGGTTAAATTCCTGTAACTATAGAGTTGTAACTCCTAAGATGACAAGGAGAAAGAACTGTAGATGGAGGATAACTTCTGCTACCTTAGAGGACTACATTATCTCTACCAGTTTTGCTAATAGCGTTCCTTTAAGAGGAAGCATCCAGGAGAAAGTGCTGCAAGAAATGTTTGGTGGACATTTCTCAGGAGGGGGCTTTCAGCATTTATAGTTTCGGAATTGTGTTATACTCTCCTAGGTACAAAGCACAAGACTATCCTGGAAGCGCGCAGCGGACTGGGGCCTATCAAAGCGTATCCACGTCTTAGTCCCACAACTGGAGGGGAAGCAGGCAGCCAAGACCCCAGTGCTCAGGAGAGAACCTTCCACTGTGAAATCTGCAATGTCAAAGTTAACTCGGAGATCCAGCTCAAACAGGTGTGAAACTCAGTCATGACACCATGTCTGTACATCTTACCAGAGGAGAACCTCCTCCTTCTCGGAAGAAGAGTTGGTGGGACACAAGAGTACCCAGGGATGTTTTACAGTTATACTTAGCCCTAAAAACATCTTCCTCCTTTTGCCAAGACTCAGATACAAAAACAGTACAATATGAAAGGAGGCAGGGTCTCTGAAAATACATACACAAAGCATATTTCTCTCCCCACTAAACAGGGGCAGCCATCCCTCGTGTGTCTGGGATTCAGAAGATGAGAGATTTCATGTCAACATTCATAGCTTCCTGGGAATTTTGAGTCTCAAGATCAGGACTTGATTTCAGGAATTTAATAAGCATTCGTTAACTCTAATCATGGAGGCACAGTGACGTTCTTGCCCAGGACCTGCTTATTAAATGCAGATAGCCCCAGGTTGCTCTATTATCACTTTGGAAGATGGGAGGAGACACTGGGTTTGCCACTGCAGTTACCTGATTGAAGCCATGCCTGCACTCATGAGCCAGTCTGCACAGGGGCTGTGGACTTCTGCTAGAGGTAGGGGCCCATAGCAGGGGTGTGCATGTGCCTCTCTCTTAAGTGTGTCCTCTAAGAAGCCTTGAAAGTACAATTTTACCAGCAGAAGCATCTCCAGTGAGCATCTTGAAATCTGAGTTCATCAGTCTTGTGCACGTGGCTGGACTGGCAGTGGTGACAGGCAACTTCTGGTCAGGGATCAGGATTCTTCACTTGCCATTTAGCACACTCTCTGTTTCTTCCTCTTTCTTCCTAGCATATTTCCAGCCGGCGGCACCGGGATGGAGTTGCTGGGAAGCCTAATCCCTTGTTGAGTCGGCACAAGAAGCAGCGTGGCATGTCAGAGCTGCCAGTGAGTACCTACAGGCATTTGCCAAGATGGGCTGTGGATTTTCTTTTTTTTTAAATAGGCTTGAAGAGCTGGCACCCCCTGAATCAGGCCACCAGACTGAACCTCTCTTTGTCTCTCTCTCTTTCTCTCCACAGGGCTCCCTGGCCTTTTCCAAGGAGCTTCCCAAGTCCCTGGCAGCTGGATTGCTACCAAACCCCCTGGCTG